GGGTTCCCGGAATTCCAAAGAAGTCTCGATTTACTGCATAAAAAGGCAGGCAGACATACTCGGAATTCCATCATATTATTCACCTTACGTGCTTGCAATAGTGTTGTCTCAGACTTTTCTCTCGATTGAATTATTAAGAGTTGGATGAAGCTATTCCAGAGACGGAAACGATCTGATCGACAAACGACGTCATAAAGTGTCATGAGAAGCACGCGCTCGCTGCGAAAGGAGTTAGAAGCAACCCGTGGTTGCCGTGAGCGAAAATTCTGGATTTTTTGTTCATCTCTGCCAGAGATAACCTGGAGTGCCTCTTGAAGGGCTGCAATGCTGACACGCTAAGGAAAAACGCCGTATGAACCTTCAGGCGATGGCAAATTTTCTTTGATAAAATACAATTTTAATGGACAATTTGTAACTGTTTTTCTCCCAATTTTTCAGACACTTTTGTTTGCAATTTAATTTAAAACATGTGAAGATTGCGAGGAAAAATACGCACACCTAACTTTCTTCCAAAATAATTTTTTTTTTTATTCTAACCCGGTGAACCCTGGCTTTTCCAGTGGGCTGATTATTGAAATAGATGGACTAATTGTAAGCTGTAGACAAAGAAGACGGAGGGGGTATGGAGCTATCTCCTTGGTTGAAACGGGTGGTTGTTATAGACCACGGAAGGAAATGATAGACTAACTGTAGGGTCTCTTGTCGGGTGCGGTTAGTTAGTATTTAACTTACCTCCTGTGTCTATGGTAACCACCCACTGCCATCACATTTTCCCTCTTGTCTCTCATGTCTATCGCTTTATCTATCAATTTCAAAAATTAGCCTATTGGTCCTGGACACCATAAGTTTAGTGAAAGGTCTCTCCGTGTTTCTGTATGTGCCTACTTCAATAATTGAAGGCGAAATGGCAACATGCGTATTGCCATGCCCCATTCGTGTCGATTCCGATTGGTTTAAATTTTCATTCAGGAAACGCCACTGGGTTAAATCCACCATCCTCTCCGTGCACCGAAGGGATATTCTCTTCCTATAAAGGTACTCCGATGGAACCACGAACGCGACGGCGAACACGGCTTGCTACCTTAATTGGAATTAAGTCGGCGTTTAATCACACCGCTACGTCCACACTCCGGGAACAAACGAGCCAGCCCACCTGTGAGACGGTGACACGGTGGCAGTCCCGTGCTAAGGAAAACGCCGTATGAGTCTTCAGGCGTTGCCAAAATTCCTTTAAAAACACCAATTTACAGGATAATTGGCGAGTATTTTCCCTTCAATTTTTCATCGAATTTTGTTTGAAATTTGATCTACGGGATGTCTGGTTATTTTTTCATTTTGGGAAATCCTGATTTTTCCTGATTTTTAACTACTAAATCCTGATTTCATAATTTTGCCAAATCCTGATCAAATAATGATTTTTTGCGGAGAATAATTAGACGAATGTAACTTCACAAAAATAGCTCGATAAAAGAATCCGATTGCACGGCCGACTTTTCTCAAATCCTGATTTTACGACCGACTTTCCTTAAATCCTGATGAAATCGGGATTAACTCCTGATTGACCTCAAATCCTGATGGAATCGGGAAAATCCTGATGCTAGACACCCTGTAAAATATCAAAAATATTCAAGGAGAAATACGCATTACATTCGTAAAAAATGAATAATTTATCTTAATAATGAATAATATAAATTTGGCAACATTCGAATGTTCATACGACGTTTTTACTCAGCACAGGCTTGCTCTCTTGCTCTTTCCAGACGGACGACGATGACTGTTGGACTGATGCCCTATAAACTTACGCCTAATCCCTCGCTAATTGCCCGATCGGCACACGTCAGTACGTCACTCCGACTCCTGTTACCTGCCACCGTGACCGATTTCTCGACGTCGACGTCCACCGTTGACGCTTGACGTCCGGGCTACGAAACTCTAACCTTATTCACGCGTGTCGCGCGTCCGGATCGGAGATGATGAATGGTCCATTGTCTAATATCGACTGGAACATCTAGAACATGTTGTCTAGAATTCTGACCGTGCTCATTGCTCATTCCCTGATTCTTCCCTGATTTTCAAGAGCTCATTCTATAATTTTTCCCTGAGTTTCAAGAGCTCATTCCCTGATGAAGAATCAAGGTTTTCACCCACTTCCCCAGGATTTTCTTGGAAAAAAACTATATGACATTCCGGGATTCCGGATAGTATACAAATGAATTGTTTTCATCTTTTAGCCGATTCTTAGGTACACATTCAAATTTTCAACTCCAGAAGCATTTTTGAGGATTATAATATCTGATCATTGAAAACTCCTCTATTATTATGATGTTTTGAAGATTCAAATATGTCATTAAAGGGGTCAATAATGGCAGCTCAGGTGTTAAAACATGAACCTTAATAATAATAGGTACTTCAAATTTCCGCAAAATTTGAAAATAAAATGGCTCCAACCGGTAGAAGAAAAGATTACTGGTTTCTGGAACAGAATCCCTGACGAATCACGGTGTTTCCCAGTCCTCAAGTAGCAGTGATCGCGATCAGTTGCGATTTGATCGGAAAATGTATCCTGATTTTATCGATGGCGATTTATTGCAATGAGTATTATCGAACAAAAAATCGTGATTAATTGAGATAAAATTTAGATTTTTTTCAAAAGCGATTTCACAGAGATACACTTGCGACAAAATTGAGAATGATCACTCGGATGTCAATAATCCTCGCGATTATATCGCTAAAAAATCGCAGCTTGATTTCAAAATATCGGGTTTTTTCCCCGTTGAAAATGCAATACGTAGGTGCTAGACCCATGGCAAACGCCCTCCGAAAAACGCGGTAGTACCGTCATCCACCATGTGAAATTTACAAACGTAGGGGTAAGTCGCAGTGGCGTGGCGTGAATTGCGATTTATCGATTGTTATGCCATTTGAACCTATGGTACAGAATCGATTATTAAGGTGTTCGCTGCGAACACCCTGTTTATCGATCCTTTTCCATAGGTTTAAACGGCATAGCAATCGATATATCGCAAAGCACGCCACGCCACTGGTAAGTCAGCGCTCCCAATCCATGTCCGTCAAAAGTTCCGGGATTCTCTTTAGATGTTTTCTTAAGTTCCAAAAAGTTCCGGAAAAGGCAAAGGATTTAGAACATTTCGGGAATTTGAAAAGTTCCGGGATTCTGAACTAGTTCAGGGAAATGGAAGACTGGTGTTAGTGTTGACTGGTTCTTTCAAAAGAATGAAAAGTTAGTACCGTTGCGTTGACGTGGTCATAACTAGACGAAAAAAATATCAATGTTAAATGGCTGCAGAAACTCGACCCTATGGCGGTGCATAATTTGACTTCTGACTCTGACGAAGACCGCCTCATGAGAGGAAATTGAGGGCTCTTTCTAATTAGGCGATTAGCCGGTTCATGCGTAGGAGTCAAATTGGTGAGAGGCACAAAGGACAAGCGAGTAATTAATATTTGGACGTATTTCTGCCGAACGGAACTATGTGCATTATGACGTGAACCTTGTTATGCATGTATTCTTATGAGTCTCGGGGCTCATGTCTTGATGTGCTTAGTTCTGTTTCGTAGAAATAGGCCCATTTGGGAGTCGGCACCCAACTAACGTTAATGGCTGGTCTACTGACCCTCATGATGGACGCTAATAGAGAGTGCGGACACTGCGAAATCAACTCTCAAAGGGTCTTAATAGTTTGCCGAAAGCGTCAATTTATTTGGTTTTTTTACGAATTGTTGAAGAAGAAAAGAGCTTAATTGTGCAGTTAGAAACAACACTTTTTGGCTTATTTTAGAATCAACATTGTTAAAAATTGTGGAGTGAAATTCTGTGTCAGAGCCTATAAAACGCCGAAAAACCCTGAAATTTCTGTCCAGAATCTGGCTGACAGCAATCCGTGGAAAAATCTGAGAAAATTTGATAAAAAAAAATTCCGAACAGCTTCCTCACACAAAAATTACGTTCTTTTAACTGGAAAACGACGCATTAAGGCAATGCAAATCACAGGGCACTTTATTTCATCGCTCTTCTGTACACTGTTAAACATTTTTGAGTGAAATTCTGTGCCGGATTCTACAGCAAGCAAGAATTAAAAGAGGACTATGATAACTCCTGCATTGTGTTCCTAATTTTTAAAGAAACGTTGATCTCCTAAGACAAAAAGAGGACTGAGGAAGAAGAAAACCAAACAACAAGAACGAATCGAAAAGAAAAATGAAAACGAGGAGGTAAAATTAGGTACAAACAAGAGGAAAAGAGTCATGAGAGACGTTGGATTTTACAAAAATAGAGTATTTCAGCACGAAAAAAAACTTTCGTCATCACAAGTTCTCTTTGCTGGTGTGCGGTCACATTTGGACCGATTTCAACAGGAATGCACAGAGTCGCAGAGTAAGAAAAATTACATGGGAGTAGTTTTAAATTTAACAAACCCTTACGATTCTCCCGTCAAAAATTCAAAATCGAGAAATATTTTGAACAACAAAACAATCATTATCGCACAGAATGACAGAATACGACCCTTGTAGTTTTTTACATCCGACCAGATTTTAAGGACCAAGTTTAACGACTATTTCCACGTTCAAAACATGTCTCGACTTAGGGCTTTCTTAAACCTCCCTTAGTTACAATTCAAAATGGGCGGGGCAACCTAAGTAAATGAGCTGTTTACACTGAGAAAAAACTCCGGCCGTGGAAGCCGTACTTACGGGCTATATGGACATACCGTCCGCGTTCCGGGCTCAGAGGCCACAGTTCCAAGTGTAGCGCATCCGGAGCAATCGAAGCTACAGCTCCAGCACCCGGAACTTTCGGCCTCTGAGCCCGGAATGGAAGGTATGTCTGTACAGCCCATAACTTTGTGCTTAGTGTAAGGAACGACTATTCGACTCTGAAAGTCTGTTTTTTCGAGCTCAGTGCCTTCCTATTGAACTCGGTCACATGTAAAGAAGGAAACCAAGGGGCGTTCACACAGGATCCCGTTGTTGTAACTCACGGAAAAAATGGTAAAGGTATCCGGAACTGGGGAGCACAGGGAACACAAGGCACGTACACAGCGAGGGTGCGGACAAGGACGCGAAGGGGGCACGGTGCGGTTGCGGGGCCCGGTCGGTGCAAGACTGAAGCGTGGAGCTCTTGATGGATGCAGGAGGTCCGTGGACTCGGCGGCGCGGGTGCCGGATCGCCCCGTGTGGACCCGGACCGGGGGCCGCGGACCCCGCCGGAGCCGGCAACGCCCGCCGTCGGGAGCCGGGAGCCCAGCGCCGCACTCCGGGCGGCCCCCAATCCGTCCACGGGAAAAGGAACCTTGTATCCGTCCGAGGAGGCGAAATTTCGGGAGGGGCTTTTCTTGGCGAGTTGGGTCGAAAAATTTGGTTTTTAAAATCTGACGCGGAAAATTCCTTCAGGAGCTACGGAATTACCGTGCTAAGGCAGAACGCCGTACGAATCATTCGAGTCCAAATTTCTGTTGATAAAACATGGATTTTGAGGACAGTTATTCATATTCCTCCCTGAAATTTTCAGATATTTTAGATCGAATTTCGACCAAAATTATATCTGAAAATTTTGAAGAGAAATGTTCGCAGCTTCTCAAGAAAATTCGGTTTTAATAGAGGTAAATCTGGCAACGTCTGAAGGTTCATAAGGCGTTTTTCCTAAGCACCCCCGTATGAACAATTGAGAGTTGCCAAATTTCTGTAGATAAAGCATGTATTTACGAGAACAGATATTCATATTCCTCCCTGAAATTTTCGGATATTTTAGATCTAATTTCGAACAAAATTATCTGAAAGTTTTGAAGAAAAATGTTCGCAATTTTCCGAGAAAAAGCGATTTTTATGGAGGTGAATCTGGTAACGTCTAGAGGCTCATGCGGCGTTTTTCCTGAGCATGGCAGTATCGGTCCAATAAAGCGGCGACATTTTGGGAGGGGCTATTGGTGACGAGATGGGTCAAAAAATTGGATTTTAAATCCGACGGGAAATTTTTTCGTGTGCCACGGAATCCTGATGAATTCCGGTCCATCCCGGTTATTCTTGGTCCTGGACACGAAGCGGTCCACACCGTGAATTTGGGAAAATTTTACCACAGGATATTCCACATGGAAAATTTCGACGCCGGGGTCCACGGTGCGGCGATTGAGGGCGAGGGCGCGGAGTGCGGGGGCCAGGAGAGACAGATACGCAGCGCGCAGCGGCCGGGGCCGACTGCCAAGAGCCCAAGATGAAGAGGTGCAGAGGCTGCCGCCGCCGCGCCCACGTCCCCCCGTGACCCTGCCTCTCGAAAACAACATCCAGAAAATATTCCACCAGCTCAAGAGATTAGAGTACCTATCAAAAGAGAGTATCGCCATGTCTCGCCAGTCTCTCATTGGTTCACCAGTCGCAAGCATGGATATGGGACAGGGGGTTTAGAGAGCCCGATGGACCCAGAGGAATATACTCCTGCACCGTAAGAAAAATTAACTGCAATTTTTAGTTCATATGAGAAAGTAACCTAAGGTTTCGGTCGATTGAACCAATAATTTGGTCGATCAATTAAGTCTGGAATGATCTGACTGAAAAATCTGCATGGCAAAGCGTGGAGTATTACGCGGAAGTGAAGGCGCTTCAAGTTGAAATCTTGCATTTGAAGTCCTCTCCACTTTACACCACTAACATTTTGTACCTCGATGGCCAAATTGCGAAACCACGTATCTCCATTGCTATGTTTCAAAATTTCCGTTCCTATTTTATTTTTTCGAGGAGAAACAAGCCAACTTTTGAGCTTGAAAATGCGGAATATTCTGCTGACAGAAAAGGGAAATAAATGGATTGATCAAGAAACTGCATAGACTAGTTTTCAAAAGAAAAAAAAGCAGATATGGCAGGGAGTGTATGCGACGTCGCAAACGAAGATAAGTGATTTCAAACTTTGGCTATCGACCTTTGTTTGCGTCACAATCATCCCTTGTAAATTTTTACGGCCACAATTTATAATTAGATTTGAAACGATGGATTATATTGGAAAAGACATCTGGGGACGAAACGCTGGGGAATTCGGAAAGAACGCTTTCATCCCGTGGTTTGGATCGGCAGTAGTTTGATATTTTCCTGTAACGCCTTCTGTTGATTTAATTTACGGCTGATTTTACTCTTATGACTTATTCGAGGTGAGAAATGGCACCCGGCTGCGAGTCGCGACCTTAAGGAGTTAGATTGAAGTCAAGTCCACCAAACGGGGGCGGTCTGCAACTGTCACGGCGGAATTACTAAAAGCGTTGCCAATTTTAGAAGACCAAAAATGGCTATTTTGCCTCCCTTGCTATGAAATTAATTTTGCTCTCCTCCCACGGAATTTGGGAGAAAATGGAAAAGTGGAATATTGCGATTATGGAGAGAAGGTGGGGAAGAACATCAAGGAACATCCATAGAAACGCCCCAGGAATATTTTCCTTTTAATCCACGGACACTTCAAACACTTTCAATCTCGATTCAACAATTGCTCAAGGTTGCAGAGTTTTTAACACATCAAACACCTACATTACAGAAAAAAAGGAGAAACAAATATCAGACATTCGAACTTCCTGTTGTCCTCACAGAATTCTGGTTGTCATAATAATAATCTTCTCCTCATCTATTGGAAGTTTTGGATGTCTTAAAAGGTACCCAATATAGCAAAGATTCACAAGGCGTTCCCATTTATAAGCTCTGAAACTTTTTCTCCGTGTGAATTCGACTCCACAGGTTGATTTAAAATTTTCCAAAGCTAAAATTTAACGGTTTCAAGACCAGCGAAAACATTGAATTTTATGTACACTGGAAAAATTGGATCATTGGATCACTGGAAACATTGGATCTAGAGACCAGACTCTTAATAACATCGACAAGAAAAAGTACTCTTGATTCAATCAGAATCTTGCTTAAATCAAGAACCAGAGCCTCTTAATTTAAGCGGATTTCGTTTTGATTCAAGCAAAAATTCGATTGAATCAAGAGTATTTTTTCTTGTCCATGTTTTCAAGAGTTTGGACTCTAGATCTCTAGATCCTATGTGTTTTTTTTTTCCAGTGTAGAAGANGGGGGGGGGGGGAGAGTGAATAACCGCCATACCCGATAATAAAAGGCGTATCGCATCTCATCGTTAAAATTCGCCTATTGATCATTTACCAATCGCATAAATGAACAAAACCCTCCGTTGTCAACTTGAGAGAATCGCTACCGCCGCGTCACGTCTGAAACGATCCATTGAACGTCGCAAAGCGGTATCGATACCGGAGAATAGGGCTCGGACAAAGCGGCTCGGAATCTGATTGGCTCGTTTGAATAGTGCCGCCTCCTGCATGAAAGAGAGTCCAAATTAAATGGGTCGGTAATGAGTTGGTCATGAAGT